GGCTGCTCCCTGGACCAATTAAATCGGAATTCTGGGGTGGAACCTAAGCCCCAGTGATTCTAAAGCTCCTAAAGTGATTACAAAATATAGACAGAGTTGAGAACCGTTGAGCTAGAATATGAACAGCTGGATTACCAGCTGCTAGTCAACAGCTTTTCTACTTTGTCTAGGACCATGTTTCTGATTGGACTTGAGATTTGGAGGTTCAGATGAGTCTGTTTGTTCTTATACTCTCAGTGTTGACCCCACACCCCTGGAACATTGGCCTGGTTCTCTAATACCAATACATTCTTACTAAATGACCAGCCTCAGCCTAGACCTGGAGTGAGCAGGGAGAGAATTCTAGTTATCTTTCCATATTATTTCTTCTAAATTGGTTCTATAATTTAAAGTTAGGAACAGGAACACACAAACTCTTTTTAAAAATAATGTTTTTATTGATTTCAGAGAGAGGAAGAGAGAGGGAGATAGAAACATTTATGAGTGAGAGAGAGAAACATCAGACCCGCTGCCTCCTGCATGCCCCCTACTGGGGATGGAACCTGCAACCTGGGCTTGTGCCCTGACTGGGAATTGAACCAGTGACCTCCTGGTGCATGGGGCGATGCTCAACCAACTGAGCCACACCAGCCAGTCCCCAAACTCTTCTGTCTAAATTTAGTTTCTAGGTAATCTTATACAATCACTTGTCTTTAAATACACTATCTAAGCTGGTGAGTTCCAAACTTATATCTTCAGTCTGGACGTCTTCCCTGAACCCACACTTGTACTTCAAATACTCTACTTAGTTGTCTAGAAAACATTTAAAACTTAACATGTCCCAAAATGAGCTCATGATAATGCTCCCTCCTCACCACCACGACCAGAGTCTTCTCCATGTTTGTTGATGGCAACTCCATCACTCCAGCTACTGACGCCGAAAACCTTGGCGACATCCTCGACTCCATTACTCACATTCAATTGGTTCTTTTTTATCCTACTTTCAAAATCCTGTCCATTATACAATTACATATCAAGAATCTAGCCATTTCTCACTACTTCTACTGCCGTCATCTGTCTCAAGCCACCATTGTTTCTCATCTGGGTTATTGCAATAGATTCTCAACTTCCTAGCTTCTACCCTTGCTCTTCTCAGTCTACCCTTTTTTTGAACCTTAAATAATTTGTATTTTTAAATTACAATGGATATACAATATTATATTAATTTCAGGCGTACAACCCAATGATTAGACATTATGTAATTTACTAAATGATAACTCACCTCATGCATATTTATTAAAATATTGACTATGTTCCCTAAGTTATATATAACATCCCTGTGACTATTCTGACTATTTATATTTCTTAATTTCTTCACCCTTTTCACCCATCCCCCAAATGCTCTCCCATCTGGCAACCATCACAATGTTCTCCGTATCTATGAGTTTGTTTCTGTTCTGCTTGTTCATTTACTTTATCTTATTTTATGTTAGATTCCACATATAAGTCTAATCATCTGGCATTTGTCTTCTTCTGACTTATTTCACTCAGCACAAAACCCTCTAGTTCCATCCATGCTGTTGCAGATGGCAAGATTTTATTAATTTTTATAGTTGAGCCGTATTCCATTGTATTTATGCACCACTTCTTTATCTATTCATCTATTGATGGACACTTAGGTTGCTTCCATAACTTGGTTATTGGTAAATAATGCTGCAATGAACGTACTGATGCATATGTCTTTTAAATTTTGTGTTTATGGTTTCTTCACATAAATACTCAGAAGTGGAATTGCTGGGCCCTTCTTTGTCTCTTGTTATATAGCCTTTGTTTTAAAGTCTATTTTGTCTGGTATAAGTATTACCATCCCAACATTTGTTTGTTTGTTTCCACTTTCGTGAAGTATCTTTTCCCATTCCTTTAGTTTCAGTCTGTGTGTGTCTTTTGATCTGAAGTGAGTTTCATATAGACAGCATATGTAAGTTTCTTGTTTTGTTATTAACTCAGCTTGCATATCTTTGGATTAGGGCATTTAATACATTTGCATTTATTTATTTATTTATTTATTTTTATTTTTATTTTTTTATCCTCACCCGAGGACATTTTTCTATTTTTTATTCAGACAGAGCAGGAGGGAGAGAGAGGAAGAGAGAGAGAGAGAAACATCGATGTGAAAGGGGCACATCAAGTGGCTGCCACCCACATGACCCAACCAGGGTAGGGGACAAACTGCAACCGAAGCACATGCCCTTAGCAGGAACCAAATCCAAGTCTCTCTGGACCGCAGGCCAATGGTCTAACCACTGAACCAAACCGGCCAGGGCAATACATTTGCATTTAAAGTAATTGTTGATAGATATGTATTTACTGTCATTATATTATTCATAATTTTGTTCTTCTTCCTCTTTCTCTTCCTTTTCCTCCTTCTCCTTCTTCCTCTTCCTCTTCTTCACCTTCTCCTTCTCCATCTCTCCTCCTCCTCCTCCTCCTCCCCCTCCTCCTCCTCCCCTCTCCTCCTCCTCCTCCTCCTCCTCCTCCTCCTCCTCCTCCTCCTCCTTCTTCTTCTTCTTCTTCTTCTTCCTTCTTCTCCCTTTCTTTTCCTTCTCCTCCTTAAAGAAAATCCTTTAATAATTCCTATCAAACTGGTTTGGTGGTGATGAACTCCTTTAGCTTTTTCTTGTCTGGGAAGATCTTTTATACCTTTGATTATAAATGATAGCTTTGCTGAGGGAAGTAATCTTGGTTGTAGTTTCTTGCTTTTCATCATTTTGAGTATTTTGTGCCAATTCCTCTGTTCTGCAAAGTTTCTGTTGAGAAATCAGCTGACAGTCTTATAGGAGCTCCCTTGTAGGCAACTAAGTGCTTTCCCTTGGCTCTTTAAACATTCTCTCTTTGGCCCTGGCCAATATGGCTCAGTTGGTTGAGGAATGTCCCATGCACCAAGAAGTTGCTGGTTCTATTACTGGTCAGATCACATGCCCAGGTTGTAGGCTTGGTCTCCAGTAGCGGGCATGTAGGACACAGCTAGTCTAATGTTTCTCTCTCTCTCATAGATGTTTCTCTCTCCATCTCCCTTTCTATCTCTCTCAAATCAATAAAGATATATTTTTAAAAATGATTATCTCTTTGTCTTTGACCTTTGGTATTTTTATTGTGATTTGTCTTGGTATGGGCCTCTTTGAGTTCATCTTGTTGGGGACTCTCTGCACTTCTTGTACTTGTGTATTTATTTCCTTCACCAGGTTAAGAATGTGTTCCATCATTATTTTTTCAAATAGGTTTTAAATCCTTCTTCTCTCTCTTTTCCTTCTAGCAGGTCCCTGATGTGAATGTTTTTATGCTTGAAGTTGTCCCAGAAGATCCTTACACTATCCTAAATTTTGGATTCTTTTTTTTTTTTCTTCCCTGTATATTCATATATATATATTCTTCAATTTTATTTCACTAACAAATGAAGTTAGTATGTAGGATATTTAAATGAAACAGTACGGTAAAAATAGCAGAGGACTGAAAACTCTAAAAAGAAAGTACACCTAAAGCATGAGAATTTGACTAATGTTTCACCTTCAGTTTTGCTTGACACTTGATGCTTGCAAATTCTGAAACAAACTTTGAAATCAGAATGACTGTTCTGAAGAGATTTCAGCACCAGCACTAAGATTTGTACATTCAGTTGGTTTGCAATTATATTTCCTATCTCTTTGTTGAAGTTCTCACTAAGTTTATTTACTCTTCCCCTAAATTAATTGAGCATCCTTATAATCTGTGTTTTGAACTCTACATCTGGTGGAGTTTATTTTGTTTAGTTTTTTGTTTTTTTGTGTGTTTTTTTTTCTGGAGTTTTGTTCTGTTCTTTCATTTGGGACATGATTCTTTGTCTCCTCATTTTTTCAACCTTCCTGTGTTTTTTTCTATGTATTAGGTAGAACTGCTACATCTCCTGGGCTTAGTAGAGATGCCTGGTATAGAAGGTATCGATAGGGCCCAGTGGCAAAGCCTCCCTGATCACCTGAGCTGGTCACTCCAGATGCACTCCCCGCCCCCATGTGGGGTGTATACCTTCTTGCTGTAGTTGAGCTTGATTGCTGTTAGCACCTCAGTGGCGGGATTTACCCCCAGGTTGATTGGCTGTGAGGACTGGCTGAGACCACTATGGAGATTCAGCTGTGTACAGGCCAACCCCACAGAACAGTGAGGCTCTGGCACCCAGCATGAGCTACAGAGAAATCTGCAGAGGGCTGCTGTTTGTGCTGGGCTTGGAGGTATTCAAGAGAGGCTAAGCTGTGAACCAAGGTCAGTGCTGGGCCTGGGGGCACTTAGCGAGGGGTATGGGGCATGAGTGGCCAGGGGCTACTTGTTTCTTTTTTGCTTGTTTTTATTTTTCAAGCACAGTTTACATTCAATACCATTCTGTACCAGTTTCAGATGTACAGCAAATTGCCCGGGAAACCATGCACTCTATAGAGTGGTCCCCTGCTGCCCCAAGCGCTCACCTGGCCCTATACCCTGCTACCTCGACATTTTTACTATATTCTCCATGTTGCAGTCGGAGTCTCTGTGGCTATTCTGCAACTACCAATTTGCACTGCTTAATCCCTTCACTTTTTTCACCCTATCCCCGACTCCCCTCCCCGCTAACAGTTGTCAGTCTTTTCTCTGTATCTACGAGTTTGCTTCTATTTTGTTTGTTTTTTATTTTGCTCATTAGATTCCACATATAAGTAAAATCATATGTATTTATCTTTCTCTGACTGGACTTGCTGCTTGTTTGAGAGATTTTAGGAAAATCAGAAGCATGAGTCAACACAGGACAATTGTATGAAAAAGCCACTGGAAACAGCTTGGGTGGGCCCACAAGTTGGGTGGGGCAGCTCTCACAAGGGTGGGACAAACAGTGTGAGCCAGCTTGCTAGAGACTCAGATATGGTGCCCACCTGCCACCGTCGGGGGAGGGTTCAGCAAAGAAACACTGGCTTCTGCAAACACTTCTGTCTGGGAGAAAGCTGGCCCCGGCTATTGTCCTGATACCAGACAATTCAGTGTCTCCCTGTGTTGGGTGCCTGATCAGCTGCTGTCCCAGCATGGAGTTCAGAGCAACTGAGTCCCAGGAGGTATGGGAATAATTCTTTGTGGCATTTGGTTACCAGCTCTGGGTTTTAAGTTCTGTCCTTAAGTTGAGTCATCTTTCCTCTTTCATGAAAGGTAGCCCGTGTGCGCAGTTACAGAGTTTTCTCAGCCTGATTCCCGTCAGTGCAAAACTTCTCTTCTTTTTTAATGCATCTGCCTCTTTTATTCCAAACTGATGGTGTTTCTGCAAATACAATTCTCTTCAAAAGTCTGAGGGTTTTTTTAGGAATCTCATTTGAGTTTTCCTATTGAACAAACACACCTGGATTTTTGTCTACTTTTGGCTTCTGCTGGTATTGTTGAAAAACACCACTCTTAAACTTCTGAAAATGTTATTCTTTAACTTAATGATTTCCTGAGGTATTTATTACCTTAGATCATTCTGATGTCTTAACAAGGGAATTCAGAGCTACTTTCTCAGCTTCTTCTTTAAATCAGGATTTCTTGGTGGTTCTCTGGCTCAATCTCTTCCAGGAGCCATTTCTTCATTTTAGCACAGTTTGCCATTTAGAGAGGTTGGGGACTTCCAAAGCCAGCAAATCCTGGCTCCATTTCAAACAGTAATCTTTCATTTAGGCCATCCTTTCACGAGTTACCACAAGCAGCAAGCATAAGTTAGGCAGGACCTTCATCATCCTGCTTGGAAATCACTTTAGTTGGCTCATTTATAAAGTTCATCAGCTACATTTTCTTTTTCTTTCTTCTTCTTTTTAAAATAATTCTTCAAGATATACTTTGTTTTTTGTGTGATTTTTAAAATTTTACTTTAAAAATTATTTTTCAATTACAGTTTATGTTCAATATTACTGCATATTAGTAGGTACATATTCTACCTTCTACATTACCGTGGGCAGTATTGCTAAGCTATCTACCACCATATAATACAGATTCCTTGTTCCTCATTTTCCAATAATATTTTCTCGACTCTTTTATGAGCAGCCTCCTCAAAGGCTAACAGGTTTCTACTAACAATCTCTTTAATATTCTTAAACTTATGCTAATATTCTCCTCAAAGTTCCTTCAGCTTCTGCCCTCTGATCAGTTCCAAAGCCAAGCTCATATTTCTATTTCTGTTAGACTGCACCACACTTCAAGGCACTAAAATCTATATTACTTATCTACTGCTACTTTACAGTTTCGCAAGAATCGCCGGAGGCCATCTTGAGACCACAGTACATGACAATATCTAACACACTACATGTTGTACTTATTTACTTTGTTCGTTGCCCACCTAGAATGAATGCTTCATTGCATCAGAGCTCTTTTTAAAAAAAAAAAATTTTCTTTATTGATTTTAGAGAGAGGGCAAGGGAGAGGGGAAAGAGAGATAGAAACATCAATGGGAGAAAACATCGATTGGCTGCCTCCTACATGCTCCCCTCTGGGGATCAGGGCTCTGACCTGGGCATGTGCCCTGACCAGGAATCAAACCAGAGACCTCTTGGTGCATAGGTTGATGCTCAACCACTGAGCCACATTGGCTGGGCTGTGTCAGAACTTTTTTGATGGGTTTATTCACTACTATAACCCCAGTGCTAGGAACAGTGCCTGGTATATTCTAGGTATTCAATGAATATGTTTTGAATGACTGAATTGAGTTTATATTTCTTGGCCTTTTATGTAAGTAGGTTTGGCCATGTAAATTTTGACCAATGAAATATGATCAAAAGTGATGTGTGTAATCATCACTGAAAAAAAGGAAATGGACTTGTCTTTTAGTGTCCCTTTCTTCCTCCTCATTGGCTAGATTACTTATACATTAGGTGCAAATAAAGGAAACACCCTAGAGATGTCAAAGTAACGTATGGAAGCCTGGACCCTTGACCATGGAGTCACTATGCTAGCCATGGCCTGCATATGCCAGGACTGGCATCTAAGAGAATTTTCAAGCTGATTAAATCCCAGTCACTTTGAGTTTCTACTATTGTAGATGAACTTATAATTGTGTAAAGTGCTTGTTCAAGTGTTTTGCTCAGATCAATTTATTTTTTGAGTTTAAATAATAATGATCACTACATTCATTGAGTATACCATGTTGGATATATGGCACCAAGCACTTTGTACTTAATATATACAACAACACTATTCAGTAGGTCTTAAGACTCTTATCCTTGTTTTACAGTTGAAGACTGAGCCCCTAAAATGTTCAGTGATTCGCCCAAATTCTCAGTTGTAAGTGCTGGAGCTAAGACCTGAAGTTTAAATGACAAACCCTTGGTAGACAACATAGGAATCACTCCTTTTCCTTAGACTGCATGTTATCTTCATTATCTTAACCATTTTAAGGAATTGTCTTACTGGTACCTCAATAAAAGTAGCCATGTACTTGGTGATCTGCTGAGGAGTACTCAGAAGCATCTTGAACTCTAACCTGTGCGGTGTGTGGGGGGAATTCCAACCCTAATCACACTCCTGAAAGCACTCAAAGGCCATGGGAATTTCTAATATGACTCTTTCCCCAAGTCAAGTCAAATTGAAGCCTATGCTTTAGCCATAGAAACTCTTGTCAGCAGAAATGTAACATCCAGAAGACCTCAGGGATGAAGCCCTATCACAAAATGTCTATGGAGTGCTCAGTGCCTTCCAGTTATGCCAACAGAGTCCTGACTTCACTGGGCACTGCACTCCTGTGCCAAGTATTTATATGTTGGTAGTTGAAACTGTATATATTGCTTTTTTTTCTGCTCCGAAAGGGATTTCAAGATACAACACACTAAGGATACAATTCTGTAATGTTTTAGCAATTGAAAGCCAAGAGCTGCTGGAACTGAAGTTAAGAACTCTGTGAGGACAAATTTAAGTATTATTAGAAAACATATCTAAAACTTTTCCATTTATATGACATCAAGGTGCAATTTATGAACCACTTTCACATATGTTATCTCATTTGGTGCTCACCGACCCCTAAAGGTAGATTGGACAGGTAGACAGATTATTATGATTAATATTCCATCTTACAAATGAAGCAACCAGAGCTCAGAGAATTTCAGTGGTTGCCTGAGGCCACAAAACTCTTAAACGGCTCTTCCAGGTCTCAAGGTCAGGTCTACCTTTTCCCCCTGCACCACACATTCTCTTATATGCCTGGTAACATTTTAAAAAGACTGTGAATGCTCACAAGAGTTGGCTCAGAGTTAAAGCATCAGAACAATTAGGAGTTCCCTAAGAGGGGGCATTTTTGGAAAAGTCACAGCGGTTGGGCAGAAAATGGGCAGCACTGTGGAGAGTTTCTGTTTGACTCATTTATCACAGCTAAAGTAACCATTCAGGGGAATCTGACAGAGACTTGAGAAGTTTTTCCAAAGTTAAGGGAAATTTATTTCATCCCCGCAGCCAGCAGTGCCAGCTCCCAGAGATGGAAGCAACTATCTCTTCCTCAGATGTGAATTTACAAAGAAATTCAGTCACCTTCCAGAGGATAGGAAGTATCATTAAAAGCACATTTCTACATTCCACATGTCCCCAAGTGACAGTAAACATTGTCATCAGGAGAGAAAGGGAACAAATGCACATGATAAGTAAAATTCTTTTGCTACACTATAAAGCTCACTATTTTAACACTATTTAAAAAAAAGGAATTACAACCAAAATTAGTGCGTTAGTCATTTATGAAAAATTGACAAGTCCTAAAAAGCACTGTCATTGTATAGATCATTTGATCATGTAATTATACAGATGAATGTTGGATGTTAAGACTTTTATTAATGTTGATTCTGATAGGTTTAGAAATTTTAACACACTGTTTTGGAAAACAATACACAGCTGCTCATTGGGAAATTTATAATAAATGAAAAGCATTCTAAACCCTAATTTTATCAAAAAAATGTATTTATCAAAATCATTTTCCAAAGTGTGTAAAAAGTTATATTTGGACTCAGAAGACCCAAATTCAAGTTCTGGTTCTGCCACTAATTTGTTACACAATACTGGCAAGTCAGTTGACTTCGCTAAGTTTCTGTTTTTACATATCTAAAATGAGGTGGCTAGCCCTGGCCAGTTTGCCTCAGCGGTTAGAGCGCCGGCCTGCTGCCCAGAGTCGCGGGTTTGATTCTGGTCAAGGGCACATACTTCAGTTGCGCTTAGTCCCCAGCCCTGGGCGGTGTTGTGTGGGAGGCAACCAGTTGATGTTATTTCTCTGGCATCGGTTGTTCTTCCTCTCCCTCTCTCTTCCTCCCTCTCACTCTCTCTGAAAAAACAAATGAAAAAATATCCTCAGAATTAAAAAATAAATAAATAAAATGAAGTGGTTATATGAACTTAAACCTGAATCTAGAAAAAACAAGATTCTGTCTGTTCCCCACTTTGGCTCCAGGGTCTGACAGAGTGAGTGGTATGTGCTTATCATTCACTACATATATTTTACATGAACTAAGGTGACTTATAATTGTAGCATTCCATGATTTTGTATATCTTTTTAAATCCTTTTTACTCTTTCTTAACCAAAATAGTTTTTGCTCAGATTAAACTTCTTTACCTAAAGGAATGAATAAATGACTATTTCCTGAAGGCCGTTATATTTGAAAAGAAAACCATTTCCTAAACAAATTTCTAATTGGTCACATTTCAGGCAATTTAACAATCTCAGTAGACTACAGCTATTGCCCATATAGGTAATAGAACATATAGGTAATAGTCTGGTACAAGGGTTCTTCAAACTTGTAAAGTCATGGAATTTAAAAAAAAAAATTTTTCTTTATTGATTTTAGAGAGAGAGGAAGGGAGAGGGAGAGAGAGATAAAACATCGATGGGAGAGAACATTGATTTGCCACCTCCTGCATGCCCCCCACTGGGGATCAGGCCCAAAACCTGGGCCTGTGCCCTGACCGGGAATCGAACTGGTGACCTCTTGGTGCATGGGTCGATGCTCAACAACTGAGCCACACCGGCCAGGCCAGAATTCTTGCTTTATACAAAATCAGGCAGCAATCCAGTACATAGAGGAGATGCGGATTAAAGTACTCTGGTACAAGCAGGGATGGGAATCCAGAACCTTCCTCACTCACCCTAATTCTCTCCACCAGCCACCGCTGTACCAGCACACATCCCAGAACAACCCTGGTAAAAGGCCAGCCGTGTTCTCATATCACTGCGCACACCAAGTGAGAGAATGAGAGAGCGATATGCCAGTAGATATCTCACTCTCCAGCATCCGTAAGGAGCCTTTGGATGTCTGCTGCAATAATCAATTACAGTCACATTTTTTAACTCTGAGAATGTAGTGAAATGACAAGTGAACAGAATAAGCAATTTAGATTTTGCCTATTATTCTCTACTTCTATTTTATGTTTGAAACTTTGGTATGGTACATGGTTGTGTTATAAAATAAATATGGACAACTACGGGTAGTCCTGAACTCTAGTACTATGGCTAGCTCCTCGAATGGGAATGTTTTTCCCCTAATTTGGGTTTTCCCTTACTTGTACTTTGAATTTAATCCAACCACCAAAACAACTGTTTTCTCCTCTGAAACAAAACTTCCAGTGGTATTTTCCCAGCAGTAAAGATTTTAAAGAAGATAGCCTCCAGAAAACTATACAAAGCTACTTTTTAAACATTTCTCACCCTGCAGGCACCTCTAACCTAGTAGTTTCCAAATCAAACTCTTTCATCTTTCCCCCAAACCTGTGCCTCCTCCTGGTTAGTGATGAAACCAAACCCTTAAAGTCACCATAAAATTAGCACCATTAAATAAATCACTGGGCTCTAATCCAGGCATATTATATGTTGATCAGGATTTTTCAGCTTCAGCGCTATTGATGTTTGGTGCAGAATGCCTCTGTGTGGTGAGTGCTGTCCTGTGCATTGTGGGTGTTTCCCAGCATCCCTAGCCTCTATTCACTAGATGCCGGTAGTCTGACCCCTACCCCCTTCCAGGCTTCAGAATAGAAAATGCTTTCAGACATTATCAAATGTCTGCTGGAGACGAAATCAACTCTATTTGAGAGCCACTGATTCTGTCTTTATACCTCACAACAACCAACAAAGTATTATAACTTCATTTCACATTATACAGATGTGGAAACCGGGCCTTCACATCTGTTCGATGTGAAATGAAGAAATAAGAGACTTGGCCTCAGTCATGTGTCTAGGATGTGGCAGAGTTGGTCAAAGTGCTGACCAAATTGTCTCCCCTTCTCTCTGGGCCTCTGGTGCTCAGTTCTCCTTTGCATAGAGTTTTTGTTGTTGTTGTTTTTTCTTTTTTGAAATCTAATCTAGCTTTACCACATCTCCTTGTTATATTACTCCCATGTACCTTGCTACTACCTTCCCTGCTCCTGTCCTACTCCATGCTTTTGTCCTGCCTGGGCTTCAATTTCATTCTTTCATCAGCTTTCAAACATATATCTCTGTTCTAAGCACCGTAATATAGCAAAACAATCAAGCTCCTACATGGCTCGCCGGCCTGGGGCTGGGTGCTCCAGCTACACACCCCACCTGGAACATCTTACCATTTTAAGCCACAAGCTTCAGCCATTGCATCTCCTTCCTGGTGAAACTCCTGTCTTATTTATTTATTTTTTAAATATTTTTTTCTTTATTGATTTTAGAGAGACAGGAAGGAGAGAGAGAGAGAGAGAGAGAGAAACATCGATGAGAGAGAACATTGATTGGCCACCTCCTGCATGACCCCCACTGGGGATTGGGCCCACAAACTACACATGTGCCCTGCCAGGGAATCGGACCTTGGTGCATGGGTTGATGCTCAACCACTGAGCCACACCTGCCGGGCCTCCTATGTCTCTTGAGGCTCATTCTCAAATGTCCCTTTTCCGTGAATTACTCAGGCTAATCCCCAGTTTCCCTGAGCACACACCAGCTTTACCACATCCTCTTGTTATTTCACTTATCCCGTGGTGGCATTAGCATCTGTTTAGCTGTTCCTTAGAATAGTTATGTGAGGAAAGAGCCTCTCATTGTTGTATAGCCAGCTTTATGACCCTGGTGATCAAACCAGCACACATCAGAATCATGGGGGAGCTTTCAAAAAATACCTCTATGCCTACAGATGCAGCCTCTTGCAAATCCATATTTTATAAAATCCCCACGCCACAGTTGAATCACTGCACGTCTTGCACAGAGCAGGTATTTAATCAATACTTCTTGAATGTCTGATCAGTTACTTCGCAAGGCTGCCTGGAAAATCATCTCTGCCTGCCCCTCAGCGCACTTCTCCAGTTTTGCGTTTTCTCTGCTTTTGATTTCAGTTTCTATTTCCTTTAACTCGAAAGTACTTGGACAACAACCAAAGAGCAGTCATCACTGACAAAGGCAAACTTTTGTTTAGGTAATTTTAAATATTAACCTAGTGTCTGAAGGTTTATAGTCTGAAATACACATCAGTAACATCAAATTAGGGTTACCTGTTAAACAGTCCCTAAACTATCTTTCAGGATTCTAGCCACCTTGTGGCTATTCACTTACAAGATGTTCTTGGCTGATCATAGACTCCTTATCTTTATTCTCTTCTAGAGCTGGTTGTGAGATTTGAAACATACTCACCTGTAGTGGCCAAGTCAGCTCAACTCCGCACCCCAGGGGGCGGGGCGGGAGCAGCCAGAGCTGTTACTTGCGCTAAGGTCGGGGATGTCCGACTGGGGCACAATAGGGAAGTAAGTCCCTGGGCGGGAGCAATCAGCAGCTGGGAGTAAGAAATCGAAACTCAGCTGTTAAAACCGCTGCTCCTGTTCTTAGGATTCGCATCTCGAGGCTCGCTAAGCGTCCCAGCCTGCACCCCTCCCGCTGCAGCGGCGGCCCGGCCCCGCAGGCTCTGAACCATGTACACCCGCAGTAGGGTGTTGGGCTCCGGACTCGACCCCTCTTCGGCCTCCCGGCCGGCCCTGAACCCTGCTGTGCAGCGTCGGGAGCAGGACCCGCTGCAAGGCCCCGGGAAGAGTTTGGAGGCTCCTTCACAGACCCCTTCTTGGGAGAGACAGGAGCAAGCGGGCCCGAGACGGTAAGTATTTCACAATGTGTCTTGGGGGGCGGGGGAACAGGAACCTAGACCCCAAACATACTCGCCAACACCTTCTTAATCATTACACTGTGAAACCACAGGGGCCGAATAACAGGGCTTTCGAGAGAATGAAGGTTCATTTGCCTAAACAAAGGCACACATACATTGAAGGTGCCAGTCTGCGGTTCTCTAGATACTTAGCCCCCTTTCCTTTGGAGACCTCTGGACACCTTCTGTGTCTGGCTGCAGGGTTGAAAGAGGATGTGGAGAAACTGCCCTGGCTTCTTACTAATTTCCCGGGCATCTTCAGAACTCAGACTCTGAGTCTAAAGGGTATGAAAAGAGTTTCCTTCCTGTGTTAAGAATTGGTGCCCTAATTGGTGTCTCCACATTAGCTCCCAGGTAAGAGTGAAGAGGGCATATGCTACCAGGTGGATCCAAACTGGCCTCCCAACAAGACTCCCAGATAAACTAGCTACTTAGGACCGAGGAGTAGACTGAAAGTCAGGAGGTGACTGAGATTTCCTGTCCCTGAGGTTGATAAATGCTGTTCATTGTACTATTTACTCTTGATCTTTGGTTCAAGGACTATAGTTGGTATCTGGGAAACATTTATTATGCAAAGTGTCAGTGGTTCTCTCTTTCTGCCCAATGGAATGAGCTTCTTTTAGACAACAGTACAGGAGTAGACATTGCTTTTGAAGGGCTACCTCTGGGAATTGGAACTGTCCAAATGGTTTCATTTTTAATTTCCCCTATTCATCAACTTATAATCACATGAAAGACAAATACTGGTTGTTAAGGAACCATATATAACCTTATGGCCAATAAACAGATTTTCTTTCATCCCTTAACTTTTGGAAGAATTCTTAAGTATCAGGCTTGTAATATTGTTCAGTTTAGTTGAGGTGAATGATCTAGGTGGTTTCATTGTGTGATTGCTGCATTTCTCTCCCCCTCAGAATAAGAGGTATCTTATCACAATAGAAGCTCACTAATATCAAGTAACCTATATCTCCATAAGCTGTATCATTTAATGTGTCAGAGGTCATGGACATTTAGTTTCCAGCTGAAGATAAATGCCCTTGACATGCTTTGTTTTCTGTGAAAAAGCATCTACTTAGGTATAATCATTTATATACAAGTTCTTGTCATATCATAAATGTTAACAGTTGTATCAGTTTTTTTCTGTGATTGTAAATTGCCCTAGAGTCTTGCTGGACCAACTTGCTCAGAAGGGGGCTATTTTTCACTGCATACTATTTTTTAACTTCTAGGGTCTGCCAATAGACCATTGGAGAGTACATCTCATTCAGTTATCTTTCTTTCTTTTTTCGTGTTAATCCTTACCCAAGGATATTTTTCCATTGATTTTTTAGAGTGGAAGGGAAGGAGGGAGAGAAAAACATGGTTGCAAGAGAGATACATTGATTGGTTGCCTCCTGCACAACCTCGAACAGGGATAGGGATTGAACCTGTAACCTAGGTATGTGCCTTTGACCGGGACTCAAACCCAAAACCCTCTGGTCCGTACCTGATGCTCTAACTGCTGAGCCAAATCGGCCAGGGTGCGTTCATTATCTTTCACAGAACTTTCATGTGAACCAGTTGTAAAAAGCAGAATATTAAAAGATAGATCCCTTTTAGGTGTTAACATCAAGATCCTTTTGGACTACTCAAAATTCCTCTTATTATCTACATTAATCACTTATATCTACTGTTTTTTCTCACTTATCTCCTTTAATGGAAGTGGGAAATCAGGGAAAATGATTGAACGAAAAATAACATCTCAGTAAAGTCAACAACAACAAAGCCATTAAGGTTTGAATTTTTTTTTGGAGAGAAATAAGAAGCATATTCTGATGGAAAATTAAGAAAGAGAAAGGATAAAATTAAGTGCTTAATAGCCAGGCTTAATTTGTTTACTCTCAGTATGAGCTTAATTATCTGCTAAGGGGTTGGAATTTGACCTTGTTTTGTGTACATCCGTCCAGGATTCATTAGGAAAGTCTCAGTGTGGGCAGAGGGGCATTGGCTTTGATGCCAGGCAGGCTTGGGTTCACGTTCTGACTGTGCCATTGCCTGCCGTCTGAACTTCAGCAAGGGGCTTCGCTCCTTTATGCTTCAGTTTGTCACTATTTAAAAATGAGTTAGTACCAACACCTCAGGGGTTCTTTTTTAGTATGTGTGTGTGTGTTTATTTATGTGTATGCATGGATATTTTGCTGGATATTTGCAACATTTTACTGGATATTTGCTTTGTACATTTGTGCAAAAGCAAATAAATATCCAGTAAAATATTGGATGCCGATGGCCTTAAATTTATTGAAGATATGTTTATTGACCAAGTGCTATGCTGTCATCCTGAAGTGGAGTGTTTGTGCCTTGTAAAAACATACAGATTTAAAGTACCTACTTACATATATAAATATACATAAAGTGATTTTAGGACAGTCTCTTAAAATGATTCCTGAGGACCATTACCTAACAGATTCCAAGGCAAGGCTGAGTTCTTGACTGCTTTTGGATTTAAATAGTTACAAGTATTTACTAATTCATATTGGCTTTCCCACTTATTTTTAGTTGGTGATTTTATCTTTAAATATCATAAGCTATCTACACAGACTTAGAGAGAAAAAAGCTCCCACAAACTTCTAGTCCAAAATAACCTTTTACCCTTCCTTTCAATATTTTGCTTGTTTGTAAGCATCTTCTCACTTATTCTCAGCTAGATAACTATAAGACTAAGGCATGGGTTTTTCCAGAAGGGATTTTTACCTAGTTTTATCCCATTCTCTGCAATAGACTCCTGCCTGTGATAGTAATACAGGCAGGGTCGCTTCATTCAGATACTTGTCTGTAACTGTACCTGGAAGTTGTCCTTTTGATGCTGTTGGAAGGGAATAAAGACATTCTGAAAATGAACCCATACTGTGGAATTTTACTAAACGGTTCACTTAAACATATGTACAAATTCTGTTTACATTAGCATGTTTGTGGCCTGCTTTATACTGAGAACTGTAGAAACGTAAAGATGAGCAGTAATAATAGCGAACACATATCATGCTTAGTATGTGAAAGTGCATGACATGTATTAGCTCTTTCAGTCCTCGTGACAACTCCATAATACGAGAGGATCTCTAGCTCTGGGTATTTAATTAAAAATACAGGGACAAATAACGGCTCAACAAAAGACAGGCCCTTATGAAGCTTACAGTCTAATTGATGGGGCAGACAGTTATCAGATAACTACACAAATAACTCTTTATACGTATTATAAGAGAAATCCAGGGCCTGAGCCAGTCTTGGCAGCAGGAAGGTGATCTTAAGACATGATGCTTCCGCTTCAGGATAATTAGTGGTGTGGCTTTTTCTCACAAATACGTCATTCCAACACTAAATAACTATAATTCAGTTCTGACTCTAACTGCCGAGTTAGCACGATACCACAAGTTAAGGGTTTATTCTTCTATGTCTCCTCCTGCTTTAGGGGCAAGCTACAAGTGGACTTCTCGGGGTACCCACATTTCTGCCCAGCTGACTACAAATTTGAGGTTCCCATGACTTCTCTCCACCCCCAGGTTTAATAATTTACTAGAATGAATTACAGAACTCACTGTATTTATGCTCACAGTTTTATTGTAAAGTATATAACTCAGGAACAGTCAAACGGAATAGATTCATAGGGCAGAATATAGCTTCCATACCCCTTCTGGCTGGGTCCCCCTGCACCTTGGTGTGTCCACTAATTCGTAAGCTCCCCAAACCTCATTGTTTAAGAATTTTTATTGCGACTCCGCTGCGCAGGCATAATTGGTTACATCACTGGTCAGTGGTGATTGAACTCAATGCCCCACAGGTGGGAGTGGAGTGGACCAGAAAGTTCTAACCCTCTAATCACATGGTTGGGGTTTTCCGGCAAACAGTTCCCGGTCTGAAGCTATCGAGAGTCCCCCACCAGGAGCCATCTATTTCATCAACATATAATCCAAACCCAGAAATCCAGACTTTGTTGTTAATCCTCAGCTGAAGATATTTTTTTCATTGATTGTTAGAGAGTGGAAGGGAGGGAGGGAGAGAAACATCGATGTGAGAAAGACACATCAATTTGTTGCCTCCCGAACGTGCCCCGACCAGGGCCTGGGGATTGAACCTGCAACCCAGATACCTGCCCTTGACCAGGATTCAAATCTGTAACCCTTCAGTGCATAGGCCGACACTCTGGCCACACTGGCCAGGGCAATCCAAGCTTTTATTACTTAGAATCCCAATACTGTTAGGAGCTCTGTGTCAGAAACCAAGGACAACGTTTAAATATATATTTTTATTACACCACAGGAGTTTAAGTAGCTTCTGTGGCATCCAGGGGAGCATGCTCTTCAGGTCTCCTTCTGAAGAATTTACCGTGAGAGGCATAGTCAGTGACAGCTTCCACGCCTTTGGATCCATTGCACCCTTTTCTCTGAGAGCACACGTATTCTGCACTCTTCCCAGCAGTGACTGAGCATTCCAGCCCCCTGCCCCTGTGGAACTCCTCTGTTGGTCAGCTTTCGCCAGAGGACTCCCCACTGACCTATCCAAGATTCCCTCAGAACTGTGTAGCAGTAGCCGGAAGGTCTTCCTTCTCAAGCTGCCTTCCCCCTCTTAGAGAATAGACCTGCTCATGTTCTCAAGGCTTTCCCTGTCCACTCCTGCTCCCTCCCTTTTATCCGTCACAGGCGTTCCCCCAGTAAATCTCTTCCATGCCTCACCCCATCTTGACGCATCTTGGCGTCTGCTTCTTGGAGAACTCAAACTGACACAGCCTTTAAGATGCACCTACTCCTGGCCACACAGCTCAGACACTGTTTCTGTTGGAGTGCTTTCTACATGTACTGGGGAAACCCACTCCTTTTTCTCATTTCCTCCCTTGGGCTTTGGGGGACATTCTGTAGCTTTCTTGCTCCAACTTCTGTACTTTTCACAGCTTGTTGTGCTACTGGAAAGGAAATAACCCTGGT